GCCCGGGCCCGGGACCCGGGACCTGGGACTTGGTCCTTGGTTCTTGGTTCTTGGCAATTGGACTTTGGGCTGGACTTGGGCGGTTGGGCCTTGGGCCCAATCACTATATATCTTGTTGCTGCAAATTTATTTGCAATTTTAGGCCCAATTGAAAAATCCAATTCTAGTTGGATTTGGACTCGGGTTTTGACCCAACCCAAGTGAAACCTCTCCAGTACAATGAACCTGGACACATGACTCTTCATGTGAAATGTAACAGCTCAGGTGATGAAGGGTTAATGGTGTTAACTCCTCCTGGTTAATGGGTTTTAACACCTGAAACGTTTTGATGTTAATGGTGCCATTTATCTCAGCCTTAAGTGGCTGTTATAACCTTTGGTTCTCCCTCAGAGGTGGAAGTCCTATAAATAGGACTTAGAGCTGCAAGTAAAAAACACACAACATTTTTCTTGCATTCTGAACTCTCTCAAAGCCTCACGCATCATATCATAGTGCTCGGTTCTCGACTTCATTCTTGTTCGCCTTGACTCTGAAGACTGGTGTGCTACAGCTTCCGAGTGTGAAGCCGTTGTATCTTTGGGGGCATTACGCACTAACCCGTCAGCACTACACGGGGCGTATTTGTCTTGCGGATAGATTTCAATCGCCTCGGCTTCAATCTCTCCGCGTTCGAGTTGTAATTTAATTTCTGTTTTAGTTCTTTTGTACGAACTGAACAATTCAGTCAGTTCATAGGTTCCCGTTGTAATTCAAAACACACATTGTATAACAATTGCAAGACAAATATCGACACCTACTGAACTGATGGCATCCACTAGAGAAGGATCAAAAACTCAGCCACCTGTCACCCCCGCTGTTTATCATCCTCAACCTGCTGTTCATGTTCCCACTGCTGAGAAGCCTGAAAAATTCAATGGGCTTGATTTCAAGAGGTGGCAACAGAAGATGCACTTCTACCAGACCACTTTGGGTTTGGTGAAGTACCTGAAAGACGACCCTCCTGTCGTGGCTGAAAATGAATCGAATGCTGAGCTGCGAGCTGCATACGATGCTTGGGGGCAAGGTGATTATCTTTGCCGGAACTATGTCCTCAACGGACTGAGTAACAAGTTGTACAATGTGTATAGCTCGGTTAGCTCTGCCAAGGAGCTTTGGGCTGCCTTGGAGAAGAAATATAAAACTGAGGATGCCGGGGCGAAGAAATTCGTCGTCGGTAAATTTTTGGAATTCAAGATGGTCGACACTAAGACCGTCGTGTCTCAAGTGCAAGAGTTCCAACTCATCTCGCACGACATTCATGCTGAAGGAACGTCTCTGAGCGAGTCATTCCAAGTTACGGCTGTGATCGAGAAACTGCCGCCGGGTTGGAAAGACTTCAAGAACTACCTCAAGCACAAAAGGAAGGAGATGAGTCTTGAAGATCTGGTTGTTCATCTTCGCATGGAAGAGGACAATCGGAAGTCTTCGGGGAAGGCCCCGATGATGGAAGCTCGTGCCAACTTGTTGGAGCAAGGCAACTCGAGCAAAAAGAAGCCCCTCAGCAAAGGGAAGTAGCAGCCTGCCAAAGTGTGGAAATTTACCGGTAATTGCCACAACTGTGGCAAGCCGAACCATATGGCTAAGGACTACAAGAGCCTAAAAAGGCTGGTCTGAAGAAGGCACAACATGGTGCCCTCATTGCTGAACACGGCCCTGTGCCGAGTGAACTAACCGACATGGATATGTCGGCTGTGGTGTTTGAAGCCAAATTGGTAGATAACCCAAGGGCGTGGTACATTGATACTGGTGCCACTCGCCACGTGTGTTCCGACAAGGGGTTGTTTTCTGAATACACTCCTTCAAATGGTCGGAAGCTCCACATGGGCAACTCCTCCTCGTCTGATGTGGCTGGAGTTGGCATTGTGGTGCTGAAGCTGACTTCTGGAAAGGAGTTGAAGCTTAAGGATGTGCTGCATGTCCCAGACATCCGCAAGAATTTGGTCTCCGGATCTCTTCTTGTAGAGCATGGTTTTAAGTTAGTGTTTGAAGCTAAGAAGTTTATTCTTAGCAAGTATGGTAAGTTCCTTGGTCGTGGCTATCTCGACAGTGGTTTATTTAAAATGAATGTAATGGCTGTGAGCCGTGTAACCGTTTCTAATGATAATGAAAATCGTACTTCTGTTTATATCGTGGAGTGTTCTGATTTATGGCATATTAGATTAGGACATGTGAATCTAAATGCAATTAAACGGTTGATGAACTTAGAATTAATTCTTAATTCTAAAATTGAATCACACAAAAAATGTGAAATTTGTGTTGAAGCCAAAATGGCAAAATTACCTTTCACTCGGTGGAAAGAAATACTGAACCGTTGGGTTTAATCCATACTGATGTATGTGACTTGAAGTCTGTGCAAACAAGAACGGGTAAAAGATACTTTATAACTTTTATTGATGATTGCACAAGGTTTTGCTACTTATATCTTTTAAGAAGCAAAAACGAGGCTGTGGAAGCTTTTAAAAATTATAAGACCGAAGTTGAAAATCAACTCGGCAAAATGATTAGAATAATCCTAAGTGATAGAGGTGGGGAGTATGTAGCTCCTTTTAAACAAATATGTTCTGAATATGGCATAATTCATCAAACGACGGCCCCCTATTCTCCACAGTCGAACGGTGTTGCTGAACGCAAGAACCGGACTTTAAAAGAAATGATGAATGCCATGTTGATAAATTCAGGATTACCCCAGAATATGTGGGGGGAAGCTGTTTTAACAGCAAATCATATTCTGAATAAAATACCACCTAAAGGGAAAAATGAGACTCCTTACAAAATGTGGAAAAATTGTAAACCGTCTTATAAATACCTGAAAGTGTGGGGGTGTTTGGCTAAGGTTTCAGTTCTTGAACCAAAACAAATGAGAATCGGACCTAAGACAGTCGATTGTATTTTTATTGGATATGCATACAATAGTACTGCATATAGATTTCTGGTTCATAAATCAGAAAATCTGGAGGTATCGGTTGGTACCACTATTGAGTCGAGGAATGCTATATTCATCGAGAATATTTTTCCTTTGAAGGAAAGGGCAGAATCTAGTTCTAACAAAAGGACGTATGAAACTGCTAGCGGTTCTGTACCAGATGGTACTGAAGATAAAGAAGAAGAACCGAGACGTGGTAAAAGGGTAAAAACGGCAAAAACGTTTGGACCTGATTTTATTACGTATATGTTGGACGATGAGTCGAGTTCCATTAAGGAAGCTCTGTCTAGCCCAGATGGACCACTCTGGGAAGAAGCTATAAATAGCGAAATCGATTCCATTATGCAAAATCATACTTGGGAGTTGGTTGATCTCCCTGCGGGTTGTAAATCTTTAGGATGCAAATGGATCCTAAAAAGAAAATACAAAGCTGATGGAACGATTGACACGTTTAAAGCTAGATTAGTGGTCAAAGGCTTTAAACAAAAAGAAGGGTATGACTTCTTTGATACTTATTCACCTGTGACACGTATAGCGTCAATTAGAGTTCTTCTCTCGATTGCTGCTTTGCACAGTCTTGAGATTCATCAAATGGATGTCAAAACGGCATTTTTGAATGGTGAATTAGAAGAAGAGATTTACATGGAAC